CTTACTGATATTTAAATTATGAATAGTCTCAAATCTTATTTGAGATTAGTAGCACACAGAGATTTGGTCATGGCTTCTCCTCCTCTACCCCTCTGGCAATATAGGGAATTGAACTCATCATCTCACATAGACAAGCAGAGCTACACTCCTAACCCCTGGTCATGGTATTTTAAAAAGAAGACTGTATTAAGCAACACTGGGCAATGAGCTACATTCAGTGTAGTTTTAATAAGATTGTTTTTATCTAGAATTGCTGAATTTAAAAAATTTATTTAAAAATGTGACACATCTATATGTATAAAAAATTAGACAAAGTGAAACTGCTGAGTAATAGAACATGTATGTCTTTGTCTTTTAAAGAGGGATTTGAAGACACTGGCTCTGATGATGAAGGCATGGGGCCATGAGCCAAGGAATGCAGGAAGCCTATAGAAGCTGAACTCGCAAGAAAATGAATTCAACCCTAGACTCTCCAGAAGGAACAAAGACTTGCTGATGTTGGAAGGTATGTATGAACTGTGGATTTGGTTTGAGACATTAAGGCAGGGAAGCTGCTTTTCTGGGAACTCCTGGATGAAATTCCCTTGTTAGAGAAAGCCCAGATCAAGCTGGTACCTTGCCTTAGCTCATAGCCCCAGGTTCAAACACAGCCGCTGGAGATAAGCATAAACTGCCAAGCACCAAACCACCTGTTTTTCCCCATTCTTATCGTATTTTTTTCTGAGTAAACTCCTTACTGATCCCCTTTGGTCTGTACCACTATAAATAAAGCATGTGCGGGTTTTTCTTTTTGTTAGGATCAGATCCATCAGGAAGGTCTATCTACCCGTCTGGCCCCTGCTTTAATATATTCCTGGTCTTTTGTCTTTTTCGTGTGTGTGTGTGTGTGTGTGTGTGTGTGTGTGTGTGTGTATTTTGGTTGTGGATGAACCTTTATATTTATTTATTTATTTATATGTGGTGCTGAGGATTGAATCCAGTGCCCACACATGCTAGGCAAGCACTCTGCCACTGAGCTGCAGACCCAGTCCATCTTTATTTTTTAACATTACTTTCAAAGCTTTTATTTTGCAGTTGGCCCACACCTTTAAGGGTTACACGCTCCCTTCCCACACAGGTTGTGGACAGAATGCTCACACCTTGATTTTTAGCATAATGAGACACATTTTTGGATATGACCTCCAGAGCTTTAAGAGAATTAATTTGTATTATTTTAATTTACTATATTTGTGGTGATTTGTTATAGCAGAAATGGGAAAGTAATATAAGAGTTGATAGACATGGCACTAGAGATTAGGTTTCTTAAAAGATCTACAGGAGAGATGCCTTGATTCTTTGGCTGAGTACTGATTTGTATATATCAGAAAATAAATTAGAGCTATTATAATACTTTACTCAAGACTGGAGAAATAACCATTGGAAAGGAGTAAATCCATTTTCTGAGATCACATAGAACTGTGAATACTTTCCAACTCATATTTAAGGAAGAAATAATACAAAATTTTCACAAACTGTTCCAAGAACAGAAGATGAACCATTTCCCAATTGATTTTTATGGAGCCAACATTACCCTAATACTCAACCTAGATAAAAAACCTTGTAAGAAAACAAGATACCAGTAGTCCTTATGACATCATATATGCAAAAATAAAAATTTAACAGAATGTAGCAAGGAAGATAAAATAGAAAGAAGCTCCTGTGTGAGCCTAACAGGAATCCCAGAAGATAAGAATTATAAGAATAGAGGTTATTTTCAAAGATAATGACTGGAAATTTTCTGTAATAGATGAAAGACATGAATTCTCACATTCATGAATCAATTTAAATAAAACTTTGTGGAACAATATATTTTCTCTGCTTTTAAGATTTCCTCTTTGACTTTGGTGTTCTTAAGTATTTATGTGATGGGTCCAAGTGAAGAATTAGTTTTATTTAAACTGCTTTATGAAAGTGAGAAGTCATGTCTTTCATCTATTGCAGAAAATGTCCAGGCATTATCTTTGAATATAACCTCTGTTCTTTTAATTCATACCTTCTGGGATTCCTGTTAGGCTCACACAGGAGCTTCTCTTCTACCCTTTGTCTCTTTCTTCTCTTGTGTAATTATCTTACTAATTATTTTTCCAATTTGTGTATGTCCTTTATCTTTCTTGCTACATTCTGTGCAATCTCTCAGATCTAATGTGAGTTGGCTACTGTCTTATTATCTGTTTCTAAAGAAACATATTCACTGACTTTTACATTTCTATACGGATACTTTTTATTTATAAAAATCTTACTAATTACTTTTCCAATCTTTCTATCCCTATTCCATATATCTGCTTATGTGTGCCCCAAAGTTCATTGTTGGAAACTTGATCCCTAGTACAACAGTGTTGAGAGGTGATTAGGTCTTGAGGGTAAAGCCCTCACAAATGGACTAAAATCTTCATCATGAGAAATGTGTTTGTTATTGACAGAGTAGGTTTATTATAAAAATGACTTTGGCCCCCTTGCTCTCTCTCTCCCTTTCTCTTACCCTGAGATACCTTTCACCACATTATGAGGCAACACAAGGCCCTCTTCAGATGTCTGCCCCTTGATTTTGGATTTCCTGGTCTCCAGAACTGTAAGCTACACAAATCTGTCATTTTAAAGTTATCCAGACTCAGGTATTGTTAAAGAAGCATAAAATGGACTAATATAGTACTTTATTCTTCTCTTAGGGTTTTGATCCTTTCATTTAGTCATTAATCATTTCAACGTAGTTAGTTTCCCTTCAGGATGTTGTTTTATTAGCTCAAATTCTTGGAAGTCTAATCCTATTTGTTATTTGCTGCTCCTGGTCTATGGTGGACTTACTCCACTCCCCCTGCCGCACCTTGCCCCAGTGCTGGGATTGAATTCATGGGTGCTTTAACACTGAGCTACAGCCCCAGTCCTTTTAATTTTTTGAGATAGGGCCTAAATTGCCAAGTCTGGCCTCAAACCTGTAGTTCTCCTGCCTTAGTATCCCGAGTTCCTGGGGTTATAGGCATGTGCCACTGTGCCTAGCTCTGTAGTGAATTTTTTACCTTTTTAAAACATTTGCTATTGTTAATGGGATAAAATTTTTGTACCTGTGTCACTTGAGCATGATCTAGACTGGGTATGTTCACTTTTAGAGATTTTACACTTGGGCCCCCAAAACATTACTAATTTTTCATTATGGATTCCCAGATTATGTGGTTGGTACACATTGAAACCTAAAATGCCAACTACATAGGGTAGGGAAGTGGTTCCATCAAACCCAAGATTTCTAGATTTCTCTTCCATCCACAGATGTGAAACAAAGCCCAAGCCTGTAGAGATTATTGTCACTAGTTAAAATCATTGCACTGAAAATGTTTCTATAGGTCCTGAAAGACCATCATGCCCAGCTGTTGTTTCTTCACATTTTTCACGTGTTTCTTTTATGAAAGTCATAGATTCCCATGCTTTCTAATCTAAATAGCTTTTCCAGACCCTGAATAATCCTGCCCTTTCTAGCAATGCAGATCCACTTCTTACTCCTAAAACACGTCTGTCTTCCCATTGTCCTGTGAACATAGAACATTTGTATATCTAAATTTTTGTCTCTAGATTTTATTTATTTTTGGTACCAGGAATTGAACCTGGGGGCACTTAACTGCTGAGCCACATCCCTAGCTCTTTTTTTAAAATTTTATTTAGAGACAGGGTCTCATTGAGTTGCTTAGGGCCTCGCTAAGTTGCTGAGGCCGACTTTGAACTCAAGATCCTCTTGCCTCAGCCTCCTGAGCTGCTGGAATTACAGGCATGCCCCACTGTGCCTGGCTTTAGGTTTGTTTTCTTTCTACCCAAATTTCATCCATAATTTGAGGCGAAGCCCAAATTTAATGGTTTATCTTCCTACTTTACTTATAAAACCTGTTTACGTAAGTTGTTAGGCTGTAATAATTTTCCTCTCAGACTTGTAACAAATATGTTGTCTTCTCAAATAGATTCTACTTGTAGGTAGGGACCTGGTCTTTTTTACTTTAGTCTCTACAGCTTCCAACAGCTTAGCATGAAGTAGCAATGAACAGGTACTGATTGACCCAATTCTTCTCTTCCATGGCCTGTCATTTAGCAAACTAATACTGCTACATACTTTGACCTGCAAAAAACAAAACAAAAACTAAGTGAATTAATTAATTTCTTGGTGGTGCTGGAGAATGAACCCAGGGCCTTGTGCATGAGAGGCAGGAACTCTACCAACTGAGCTATATCCCCAGCCCATAAGTTAATTTATTTTTTATGTATTAAGAATTCTGGTGAAAAATTCATTGGGAGAAAATTTCAAGATGCTAAAATTTTAGTTATAAATGATTTTCAATTATACATGCCTATGTATTTTCTGACATTTATAGCAGGCATATAAATCCATTTTATACAAATTCTTAAATTATTGACTAATGTAATTTTCTAAAAGACTTCACTACCTTTGAGGCACTTATACAAGTTTCTTCATATAAAGAGGACAGTAACAAAAATGACAATGGGAGCATATCTAATTTTCAAAATGTTATCTCATATTACCTTGTCACAAATACACTTTAGTCCATAAAGAATCAGCCAGTTTTATTTAAACTGAATACTGTCATGAAGATCTGAAAAGCTCCTCTTGCAATATGTTACTGATGTGACTGTTTATGATTCAGCAGATTGCTTCATGGTGCTGAAAGTCACCTCAGAAACCATTAGCTGAGTTGAATGAATTAGGAGGTAACATAAGAGGTATTTTCCCTAAGAATGGAGACGTTGGAGGAAATCAACATATTTTTTAATTGCCCACATAATTATGCTATGATAGTTTTATCATATAACTCATTTTATTTGAATTGGTACTATTTAATTTGAACCTGACAATGAATTTTAATAAGCATACCTCCCAAAAATGGTCTGAGAAACTAGCTGCATTATTAAAATTACATTAAAAAAATCGCTGAATAAAAAAAAATCAAAGAAAAGATAATACGATATTAGTGGATAATGCAAAGGGTTTATTGTTGAATAATGGCATTGACAAGTTTTCTTATTTCTCATAAACATCACATAAAGTATTTGTCTCCCATCACGAGAAACTCATAATAGATAATGCTATCTTAAATTCTTCTAAATAAACCACATGAAATAATTTTTTTTTGCCAAATTTTGTGTTAGGCTTTGAAAAACAGCATTTCTTCTTAATTTACATGCTTCTTTAAAAATTGAGCAAAAATAAAAGGAAGGAGCTCACTTAGGGGAAACATTCTCTTTTATGCACTTTCACAGAAAGCAAATTCACTGCAAAATTAAGTAAGTAAGCCAAATCTTATTTCACATAACTAGAAATGAGATTAGGATCAGAAATACTTTTCAAAAGAATCGAGGTCATACATGATACAAACCATAGCAATTATTTTGTTCAAAAAATTCTGTCTCAAGAAATGCCTAAAATGTGAAATCTAATGCAAAACAGAGGCAAGGAAAGGCATCATGACCATGACAAGGGTATACCAATGACATAGTGGTGGAAATCCTTTGGAAGGACTAGTATGAACATTTGAGGAAACAGATGCAAACCACTGGCCCATCATCAAGTAACAGTACCTTTCTAGCTTGATTGCTGTGACCATGTTTTATATTTTACAATTAACCACAGATTTGGTGCTTTGGATTGCTACAAAGAATACATCTATGCAAGTTGTTTATCTTATTGTGGGTTACAATGTCACATGCGTTTTGCTATGTCGAAGTTCTTTCATTCTGGAAACAATTTCACTGAACTTTTCCTATGGCAATATATATATAAAATTTACTTAAATGGTTGAACTATCTGTTTATTTAGAAAGGCCTTTATTTTATATTTTGAGAATGTTTTCTACATAGAAGGATACTACCTAGATCTCTAGGATCTTAATGCTTTGCCTTTATGAACACTCAACCCTCTATCTACCATATTAATAACTGAAAAGATTTGTACTTAAATATTAGAAAATCACAGGAAAAGTTCATTGGTATTTATTAAAATTTAAAGACATTTTCATAACTGCAAACAAATGAAATTCTATAACTTTGCCTCAAAATTAACTATTCTGTGGTCAAGATAATCTAGAATGATCAGATTTTAAAATTATTTGTTCTAAATGTATTTTAAAAGTACTTGCATTGATAACTGTGTTCTCTAGGTATTTTGTGAATGTATTTGAGCATGTGTAGATTTATCTAAGATGAAGGCCTAGGAGTAAATGGGATTCTCCTATAATTAGTCTCACAACTAGGCATCAAACTCTGTAGTTTCATAGAAGTAGAATTAGTAAAACTACTTTTTAACAGTAAGCACATGCCATAAATAAAAGATTGTTCCTGTCCTCCGGAATAAGTCCAAATAAATACAAGTTTGATCTTTTAATGCATCACTTATTTGTTGAACCCTAGAAATAGAATTGGTTTGGTTCCAGACCACTGCAATAAAGTGAGTCACACAAATTGATTTCCCAGTGCACATAAAAATTGTTTACACTATAATCTATTATGTGTGCAATATCATTATGTATAATAAAACAATGTAATACCTTAATTAAAAATGCATTACTGCTAAAAATGGTAATGATAGTTTAAACCTTCAGTACATGCTGTTGGAAAATGGCATTGATCAGACTTGTTCAAACAGGGATGTTACACACCTTCGATGTGGGGGGAAAAAGCAATATCTGTAAACTAGAATAAAACGAGGTATGCTTGCACAGTTTATCTTTGTTAAACATTTTTAAAACCTAATATCAGACATCTATCTTAAGTACACTAGTAGCTATGCAATTGTTTGCATCTTGATTGGTTCCATCTGATATGACTAAAACGTCATTCCACTGTTCTCCACAGACTGTTTCTTCATTTAGCTCCTACCCCTTGTCATATACAATTGACTTATTTATTATGTTTCCCTACTCCTTCCTACACCCTCTTTAGTAAAAGGTAAGCTTCAGGAAGACAGCAATTTTTGGCTTTGGTTGCTGGGGTATGTAAGTGCATAGACCACCACCTGACACTTGGTAGCACTAAAAACATTCACTGAGCAAAACAATGTGGTTGGAGATGACATCAGAGATGTAATTGGATGGGCCTTGTAGGCCATTCTGAGGACTTGAGGAACAACTTGGAATTCTGAGCAGAGAAGGGCTGTAACCTGACAGGTTTTAAAAGCATCACTCTGGCTGCTGTACTGGGGATGAGCAGTGGTGGTCAGGAATAGAAATGAAGAGACATTTATAAGGCAACTACAGCAAATGAGGGCACAGATCAGGGTGATGGCAATGTACATGGTGAGAAGTGGTTGCATTCTGTATTATTTGGAAGGTAAGGTAAACCTTGAATAAGGGCTGGGAGAGTGGGGCATCAAGGATGACAAGAATGTTCTGGCTTAAGCAACTGGAAGAACTGCACTGCCATCAACTGAATCATGAAAGATTGTGAGAAGAGTATATCTGAGGTTAGTGTGAGGGAAGGTTATTTCAGTGTTGGATATGGTCTATTTAAGATGGTTTTTTTTTTTTGGGGGGGGTGGTGGTGCTGGGTTTGAACTCAGGGCCTTGTGCATGCTAGGCAAGCACTCTACCAACTGAGCTATACCCCTAACCCCAATTTATGAGGTTTTTGTTAGGTGGTGAGGAGGTGGGTCTGTGGCTAAAGTTCAGGGAGTGTTCCAGGCTGGGGACATAATTGAAAGAATCATAGCATATGAATAGAGCTTAAGGTAAATGCATAAAAAAGGAATAGGCCTGAGCACTCTGAAGTTGAAAGGTCTTCAAGTATGAATGAATCTTATCAGAAAAGTGGAAAGAATCTCAGTTCTTCTCAGGTAGTTAAACGTCCTGAAGGAAAAAAACACTTATTAGGTGATATTACTTTGTGAAAGACAGGTAAAAACAAGCAAATTATGAACATAATTTAAAGATAGAATTTATTCTCTTGACGGTTTACTCATGCAAACTGCACATAAAAGAAAATAGTACAGTTTGTGTAACATTGCAAATATAAGGACTCAAAATGCTAGGTACAGAAGTAGTGTGACATCTTGGAAGTCAAAATGGAATTTGTGTTCATACAACTAATAATGATTTTTATTTGCTGAGTACAGATTGATTTACAATGAAAAGTTTGCTAACCTTGGTAAGCTCATTAACCGTTTACATGACTTCTTACATCTATGTAGTTTTATTTTACAGTTGCAAGAATTGTTACCAAAAACTTTAACTTGCATAAATAAGATGAAAGAAAAACGCACTGAAAGACTTTAGAAAGTGAAAAATTGAGGCTTTTCCTAACCCATCCAAGCTACGATAAAAAATAGCCTTCTTGTATAATTCATATTTTGTGCCTTGAGATCAACTCCTTAGCAAACTATGACAAAATCATGATTAGAAATTGATTACTTTAAAATTATGACATCAGTTAAAAATAAGAAAATTTTGAAGTAGAATTGTCAACCAAAATGCTCTCATTTTAAATAAGTCAAACAATAAAATTCCTATTATCTTCATACTTAGAAGTCCTGAAATATCATTTGTATAATTTGCATGTTTCCCAGTTTGAAACTTAGGCAGGTGGGATACTCCCTTGAATTATCAAGGATATTCCATATAGGCTTTTAAAATGTCAATCTCATCAGAAGATGGCACAGAGACTTTAGCAAGTAGTGTAGTATGGATGTAGAACAAACTACACAACTCATTATTAATGCATTACAGATATTTACATAATGGAATCCTGCTTGAATGCCAGAAGTTGGAACTGGGTAGGACTCATAACTATTTTACAAAGGTTTTTTTACACACATTTACTACTTTTTTATTTTTATTGTTTAACAATTGAGTCTATTTAAAATATTGTACTGTATTTTGAACATAACTGAAGAATAAAAATAGATAATGGCACATTAGAAAATTCAGTATCCCACAGATGATTGGATAATGAGAAGTGTACCTACAATCATCTCATCAGAAACAAGCTACTTCATGGAATGTTAGTTGTCCAAGCCTGCACAGTAATGACATTTTAAATTGCAATCATCTATTGGCCAGCATCACACTGAAGGCATCGTTAAACATTCAAGCAAAGATTGCTGGCATAAACTATTGAGAGACACACACACACACTCACACACACACACACACACACATTCTCTCTCTCTCTCTTACATTTCCCACATTATAATTACATTGTTCTAAAGATAGATACTGATTTTTTTCCACGAGAAACGTTATCAAAATTTGCTACTAAAAGATGACAGTGCTTTCACAAGAATAAGTACAAGTTAGCTCGCAAGTACAAGACAATGGGGGTAAACAGTCGTAAATTTTCTAAGTAGTAATTTTAGGCTTTTCTGGCAACCATACCATACTTGATTATGCATAAATTCTGTCTGTAACCTGAAACCTGAAAAAAAAACCCTCAAAACAAGAGCTAATTTTAAAAAATTACTAAATATCTGATAACCCTGTATCGTATATTATATAATTTCATACTTTTCAGCCTCAAAACATAGTTTAAAAACACTGAATTTCAGACTTAAAAATAAAGTCATTTTTTAAATGCTGAAGATTCCAAAATTTTTGTCTACTTAAAATCTTAAAAAAAGAAAATGCATTATTAATGAACTTGATTTAACAGTGTGCACATGAAAGCACTGTATGTCTTTTATCATGTTTTCTCTCACTTAAAACAACAAACCAGTGTTCTCCAATATTATTCCTTTTGCAAAATGTGCAAAATAAAAGGCAAAAAGATTAAAAGCAAATTTCTACCCTTCTCTTGCCTAGTGCTTTATGACTTTGTTCACATTACAAAGTCAATAGGGACTATGCAGAACTTTGGTATAAATGATAACAAGACTACCATCACAGTTGAGGGATAAGGGGTGGGCAAAAGAAATGGAAGTGGGAAGAGAGATTCAATAACACCCCCATTTATTAAAACACCACCAAATTAAAAGTAAAATAAACCACAATGAATTATAATACAATTTACACATTGAGCACAGAAAAATTAATAAATCTAACAATATTTATAAAAAAGCAAAATCAGTCTTTCCAGAGACTTAAAACTGTCGTTCAGTCTTATCATCAACTGTTGCTACACCAACTTTAGAGCCAAATTTAATTTCAAGTAAAAAAAAAAAAATTTACAACCACAGATTTCGCATAAATGGAAACTGGTCTTTCCTTGATTTCCCTTTGAAGTCACTAATGAGTATCTAAAACTGTTGTACTGCAGGTTTTTAATCAACTTCCTGAGGGCTGTGACTGGGAGGAAGGAGCCATGACAATCTGGGAAAGCGCAGGCTCCATACTCTGGTCTGCCATCTGGGTGAGGACTGAAGTGGCTACAGCTTCTGCCTTTGAGGTTGAACTGACTCCATTGGATGTGCTGACAGAACTATGCTGTATAGCTTCTGTATGTGGACTACTTGGCACCGAAAGGTCTTCTGAACTATCATCTTTATCAGCAGCTGGACAGAAAACAAAGAAAAATTAATCATTCCCTTCTTAAAGTATATGTAAAAGTATTAGACTGAGTCAACATACAGAATAAAAAGTATTTTACAAAACTGAATATTTAGATAAGTCAGTATGGCAAATTAAGTAACTGAAAGAAATGGCTATAAGTCATGAAGTAGGCAATTTTACCTGCAACAGGTCAAATGAAGAAACAACCATACATATGGGAACATCTGGGTGCCCAGTGCCTCACAAAATAGAGCTGAAGAAATATTTGCTAAATAGTGTTAAAGAAAATTAGGTAGGAGTTTGGGAGCTAGCCTTTCACACACACAAACAAATACTTATCAGGAAGCACATTTAACAAAACCAGTCTGTTCAACAACATGTCATTCTTTTTAAAAGATAAACAAGAATTTATAAGCACATATATATACAAAATGAATCTTATATACTGATTATAATTTCAAATTATTCCCTCAGCATTTTCCAGAACTATAGTCTGTCTGACTTTCCATCTTGCAGCCACCGATGTTTATAACACCTGATTCTAATGAGGCATACACATGAGTATAAGCACTATTTAGTCTAAATGCCACCAGCTGTTATATTTGCATGAATTAATTGGGATTCAAATAAAAATCCATATAAAACTCTAATGCGCTTGAAAAGATATTCAGGAAAGGACATTCCAAATTTTTATGAAAATAAACCTACCAATATTTATGCCTGAATAAAAATCTCTTAAATCTTCCTTATTTTAGCAGAAAGAATCCACCAATTTCATTTAGTGAAAAATTTGATGTATGCCACACAAATTATTTATAATATCTGTGAGTTATAAGGTACAATGATAACATGAACACCTGTGCCCTAAGTCCCCAACTTCAGAGAACACTGCCAATGACACTGTTGCTCCTTGGATGCTTCTCTCCTTGCCACAGGTAATCCTCTATTCTGACATTTCTTTAACCAGTCCCTTGTTTTTTCTTTGTAGAGAATGGCCAGATGCCCATTGTCAAAGTTAAGGAGTTAAAAAAAAAAAAAAAAGACTCTGAACATTAGGAAGCAAGATTACCCCATGATTTGTAATATAAACGATGGAAGGGGAGAATAACTGATAAGCATAACTTAAACTCAAAGTCCTTTTGAGGATTTTCTGAAATATAGTAAAATTTACAGAATTTTGACACATCTTCCTCAAATCCATACATTTTTGAACAGCAAGTTTTCATAAATATATTAATGAGATAAAATCCTATCTTCTCCTCTATAATGTTATAAATGCAAAATTGTACCCATGGACCAAACTTACCTCAAGATACAGTAACAGAAATGAAAATTAGTAATCTTTTAAAAAATTGTATAAAGCATTAAGAATATTTTTCTAATCAAGCACAATGAGTACTATAAAATATTAATAATTATTATTTAGCTAACACAATAGTTACATGTTCAAAGAAAACACTGGCAATGACAGGTTAACAGGAGAATACTAAGCAGTCTTTTTTGTTTATTTCACCACTATTTTTCAACAGAACAAGGCTGACCTTTCTCTGAATGTTAAGTTCTCAGGATATAGCAGCTTTCAAAAACAAAGGGATTGATAGATGATGAGTGGTACAAAGAAATCTAAACATATACTGGAGGCAAAGACTCAGAAATAATAAATTGTAATGGAGGAGTACTGACCTCCACTAAAAGTTTGCTCTAGGTAAAGCAAACCTTCAGGGAGCTGACAAGAATCAGTGGTTACTTATAAATTGTGTAATTATAAATTTTACATAGAAAATACCTTTGCAATGTGATATATCTTTCTTATGTCCAGTTCTAGAAGGTGAGGAGAGACAATTACCAGTACAATCAAAAGCACAAGAAATCATGCTGTACTCAAGAGTCACTTTAAGCTCTTTGTAAGCTAAATGGAATCAGATGTTAGACAATTCAATTCTATGAAAAGTTCTCTACCTATGTTTATACATATTTTCAGTAATGAAATTAATCCAGTAGCTTTGCCAAAGAGCTACATCCCCAGCACTTTTTATTTTGAGGCTGGATCTCACTCAGTTGCCTCAAACTTGAGATCCTCTTGCCTTGGGTTCCAGAGTGGCTGGGATTACAGCCCCATGCCACCATGTCCAGTTATTAGTGCATATAAATTGTACAAAATAATGGGACTTATGATGATGAGCTCATATGTATATGTAAAGTGTGTGTGTGTGTGTATAAAATGTCCTTTGATAATGTATTGCTTTCCTCTATCCTTCACCTCCTTCCATCTTTTCCATAACCTCTACTAGGTGATCTGATCTTCTTGTAATGCATTAATTCTTACCATATCTATCGCAGATTTTACCTCCACCCAGAATTGTATTTACAACTGCTTAGTGAATTTTCTGATTTGGATGACTACATAAGTAAATAAGTATTATTATTATTTTCATTCTGATTTTATATTATATAACATTTGGGGTGACCAACAGTCGACTGACTAAAGGGTTTCCTAGGATGTAACATAGGACTTTCAGTGTTAAAACTAGGCAAGACAGTGTTAATAAAATTGAGACCTTATGACTAACTATTGTCACCTTTACCTGCAAGATTTTACAATATTCCTTAATTTATACTAAATCTTGGTTCTCCTTCATAAGTGTTTTGAAAGACTTACAGATTACCACCATTAATATTGCTATGTGCTACATGTTAGTGTGAAATCTGTAAACTTCTCCAAGATATATTCATTTAATCTCTATCACTACTTTCACTATTAACTCAGAAGAAATTAGATTTCAAATATTTGAAATCTGCAAATATAAATCACTTAAAAATTTCTTTCAAATGCTAATAATTTGATTACCTAAACAACTAGACAGGAATAAAGGTAGAGATATTTCCAAATAATAAAAATATCTTTGTATTTCCTGCATTCTCATAACCTACTAAAAAATATATTCACAAAAATGTATTAATCTTGATTTTTGGTCATTTAGCCATAGATAAACCCATATGTCTATACACCTGAAAACATCTTTATAAATCAGTTGTTAAAATGAATAATTGCTTTACATTTGTTGAGCTTATATTACTTAGAAAAAAGAGTCAAAACTATTAGAATCATCCAATAAATTACTAAAGATTAAAAGCTGTATATAAATTTGAATTAAATGTTATTTGAGAAAAGAGTTACTTTATTTCTAATTTTATAGAATCGTTTGTATAATTCCATTTAGAGAGAGAATTTTTTTAATATTTATTTTTCAGTTTTTGGTGGACACAACATCTTTGTATGTGGTGCTGAGGATCGAACCTAGGCCGCACACATGCCAGGCGAGCGCGCTACCACTTGAGCCACATCCCCAGCCCCAGTATAATTCCATTTAAACTACCAAAATTCAAGGGAACTTTCCTGTTTAAGAAAATCATGTATGCATAATGCTGAACTCAGAAGCTTTATGTTAAGTCAGATGGGAACATAATGGCCTCATCTCTATAGCAATCATTGTTAATATAAATCCTAAACATATTTCTATATGGTTCCAATTTACTTTACAATGTGTTTCACTGGCCTGTGTCAAAATGACTAGTAACTCAGATTTATATTCTCGAAACTGACAGAAATTAGTGTCCTAAATATATATGGCAATGGAGAATTGCTAAATCTACTGAATCTTCTTAAATTAAAAAATATTGCCCATTCTGATGAAACTGCTTACAATGACTACAAGTAAAAATGGTAGCCATTAAGTTTTATCGTGAGCACCTGAGGAACTGTTTGCATCCAATACAAAACATTTTGTTCTTTTGAGTTACTGACACTGGCAAATTAAAATGAAGTGGATACATATGGCTGAAACAATCTTCACATTTACAAATATCCAGAAATATCACTAAATCATAAAAATGAAAGCTGTGGGTTATATATTATGAACGTTGCCTAATGCATTCCCAACTCTGTTATTTGTTTCAAATTTGTGCAATGGACAAAAATTGGCCATTTATTCAAGAGTAACAGCTGGTTCCAACATTGTGCATCTTATCTAACAAGGACATTATAGAAAGGAAAAAGCACAATTAACCTCTAAAATGCTGAAAACAGAAAAATCTCATTTTTTGGAAAACATTTAGGAGTGAACTTACAATCAGATGATTTGAATACTGTTCTAGCCTTTTCATAACTAACTATATAAAGATTCACAACAACAAAAACTCTGCACAATGCTGACATTACCTAAGAAATAATAATAGGATCTAATACTATAAATGGATATTGTATGTTAAGTGAAGATGGCTGATAAAAAGTATAATCCTGTGAAGATAAAAAAAATATCATCAGTACTTGTCAATATGTTTAAAATTTTTAGATAACACATATTGCTGATCTGCAGTAATGCTTAGAAAAAAGCTAAAAACAGAAAACTCCAAAACACTCTAGATTCTAAAAAGTATACCCCCCAACTCGCTTGTATAACAACCTTGCAGAAATTGATAATTAATCTTAGATTTAAGAACTGTGTAGGGAGGATAGGAAGGGCAGCAGAATAGAATAGACAATATAATTGATATGTGTACATTCCATGTATGTATTATATATCAAAATGCATTCTACTGTCATGTATGACTAAAAAAAATAAATAAAAATTAAAAAAAAAAAAAAGAACTGTGCTCTCTACTTTTTTAAATGGTAGCTCTGCTCACTCTGGCAGTATTTCACTGATGTAGCCTAAGGCTGTAGGTAATGGAACATTACTCACTATGATAGCCAGATTTCTTCTGCATGGCGGTTACAGGGCAATCTTTATGAGCCAGAAGAAGCTGTTTCAGCTGTGCCACTTCATTTCTCAGCAGGGTGACTTCGCTCTGGAGAAGAAACAACTTATGTACCTTACCAGCAGTAGACTAAACACATTTTTTACTGTTCAAAATGAGTGGATTAAGATTTGAAAACTGGACATCACTGGCAGAACATTAAGGAATAAAAAAACTATGCTGCTTAAATATGTCTAATCGGTATACATCATTTTTGCTATTTTAGCTTTTATACAAAAACGGCAACTTGTATGAAAACTTAAATAAGACAACAGCACAAGTAGGTAGCATATTTCAAAGTTTTTACATTACCATTTGCCTTGGGACTCATTATATATTTTAGGTTACCTATTGAAAATATTTTTATTTACATATGTTATTTGTTCTTTTGATTATCTGATAAACAGAAAGTCTGAATAGAGGTAGGAGGAATTTTCACTGATTGTGTTAATATTAAGATTCCAGATGGGAAATACAATAACTAAAGAATCATGAATTTCTGAAATTTATTGCAAGGTTGGGCACCAGAACCACTGAAAGTACATGTAATATTTAAATGGCTTAGCTGTCTTTTACCCAGGCAATTTGTAAAACTGAATTTAAAATTCACAAATCAATGGTGATTTGTCCTAAAGCTTACAACAGAATAAGAACTTCAGTCTTTATATGGAATGCATTAATCTGTAAGTTTTATGCAAAAGTTCCAAATTGAGTTGAGTTCAACTCAACCTTTTGAGTTACCATCAAGTACTAAAAACGTATAAATTAGTGATCATTACCAATACTCAAGAATTAGAAATAATATGAATTTAACAAATCGCTAACATTAAAAAAAAATCCTCCAGGTGTGGTGGTGCATGCCTTATAATCACAGCAATGTGGGAGACTGATACAGGAGGATCCTAAATTTGAGGGCAGCCTCTGCAACTTAGCAAGATCCTGTCTCAAAATATAAAATAAAAAAGGCTGGGGATGTGCCTTGGTGGTAGATTGCTCCTGGCTTTAATCCCCAGGGGGGAAAAAATAAAGAATTTATAAACATCTTTAACTTATTTGAAATTAACATTGACTTTACCAATTTGGATTTTACTCCAAAGTAAATAGAAATATATAACAAACCAGGAGTAAATAAAAGTTTAGGCAGGTAGGTCTTTTTATATTCTGTTTCTTAATTAGAAAGCTCAATGTAAAATATTTCAGTAGATTAGGGTCATTAAGCCTCCGTAAGTGACCAATGCAGAAACATGAAAATCAACATAACAAAAGCTAAGCAATCTGGAGGCAAGTCTGTTTAATTAAATAATTCCTCACATCCCAACAACAATGAACTGTAATACTGTATCTAAAAGCACAAAACAAAACTGAGGGTCATAATAACTCTAAATATTAAAATAAAGGTCAGATTACATTTAAAATACTGAATTTAAGAATGGGTGAAGAATGATCAAAGTACAAAAGGTAAAATTTAAAAGTTTTGTTTTAGAAAAGATAAGCTGTTATTTAGAAAAATCATTTCCATGGAATATTATAACCACTGGTGTCAATACAATTAATTATAGCTCGTTCTTAATAGCACTACTGATGAGAAACCATGTTAGAAATAATCCAATATCTACCTTACCCTGCCTTGTCAGCTTGATCTAATACTGTTTTCTATAAGCTTCTCATTAATTTTTGTAATATGAAATGGATATTTATCTTTAGCTAAAAATATATAATCGTTGATAGTCTGCTGTGACCATATTGATTTCTGACTCTCACTGCTCTTCTAAAATACTATAAGCTTTAAACATACCAAAATACAAGTAATGTCCTTAAGTCTCCCTATCCTTGCTGCCTCCTTATTAGTCTGAGCCATATGAAATAACCACTATCTAATTGTCATGCCTTATAAAAATAGTAAACTTAAGTGAATAAAATGCATTGTCTCTTTCTGGAAAGTCTTTCCTTTCTTCTTTACTTTGGTAATTATTTCACTGATCTTTAAGAATCAATACAATACAAATTTGCAAAGGAAAAGAAGTCAATTTTCCTTTTCCATCTTCCCACGGCCATATAAAGGTGCATATTTACATTAATAGGTATCTGACACAGTACTTATACCAAAAATTACAATCCAGAGTGATGTTTATTTATCACCTCTACCAGATTGGGAATTTCTTGAGGGCAGAGATTATTTCTCTGTGTAACCTAAGAGGACAGTGCATGGTCTGACATGGGTTGAGTAGCTATAGTGAGGACTACAGTATATAGTGAGGACTAAAGTATATAGTGAGGACTACAGTAATTTCAGCTAATAAAAAATTCCAAAGAAGGAGAAATAAAATAGCTGAAATAATAAGAAATCGGTCTGAAGTCTTAATTTCATTATTTATACCAAAAATGTCACCAACATTGATATGCTGTTAATTTTCAACAGTTACAAAATGAAATTGACAAGCATTACCTTGATTATAAAATTTTAAAGATCACAAACCGTCTCTCAAATATTCCATAGAAACACTCATCATATAGTATACTGTGAGACAAAATGATATATGTAATAAAATGGCTGAAAGCAGTTCTGAATTGATTAACCAATAAAACAGTTGACTTAAATAATTCTATGATTAAAAATTAAAACAGTATTCTTATGCATTCAAATAAAATAAATATTCAAATTTTCTTTTTAATTATGCAGAGCTGAAACTGATAAATATTTGAGACATCAATTTCTATATTTCACACAGTTGGTGATAGTATGGCTCTTGATCTAATTAGATTATCTGGTCCATCAACAAATAAACAAATGTGAAGATGCCAACAATGGGCAATAAATATTAAGGATGGAAGTGGTAAGGCACTTGGTTCTTGCAATTTGTATTTGTGCTCACTGAATTTTCACTGGAGCAAATAACAAGAAAGACCAACAGGAGGGGAAATTAAAAATAAAAAGTTTGCATACATATATCCAAAGACACAAAAGTATGCTCTAAGTTATATTCACCCAAACTTCAAACAACAAATTGTTTCTCCTGCACTTTTCACATGACAGAAAGGTTAAGAAAACCCTCAACAATTTTCAAAGTATACTCAAATATAAACACAGCCCAATTTGTTACATTATCCTGATTTAAAATGTTTTACAATGATGGTAAATTTTCCTAATGATGATCCTAAAGCTCAAAAGTGACTTTTGGGGGCTGGGGACCGGTCCCTCAGTAGTAGAGCGCTTGCCTAGCATGTGTGAAGCACTGGGTTTGATCCTCAGTATCACATAAAATAAATAAATTAAATTAAGGTATTATGTCTATCTTTATTAACTTAAAAAAATTTAAAAAGTGACTTTTGGATGAGAGGTTATAAATTAGACATAATTTGTGTTATTATTGTACCCTAATAATTAATTTCTTTAAAATCTGGTATAAGCACTAGTCTGAAAGCAGCAATAGGACATAGTTACTGGCAGTGGGACTGAGACATGTATTGAAAAGCAAACACAATTGAAGTGTAGGTTAAGCATGAGAATGGATCATGCTTTGATGGAAGTAGATTTAGTTGAGCTGGACTCCTAAATGTAAGCATATGCTAGTGGTTAAGACCAAGTCAAGTATAAGTTGAAAATATGAGGATTATGCAGATAAAGTTTATATAATAAATTAGGCAGAATAGGCTAAAGTCAAGTAATTTCTAAGTCATTCATGATATAGTAAAACTCAACAAATTTATCCAAGCATTTAAGAACTATAATCTCATATACGTAAGTTTTAAAGGAAATATTTTATTCTTAAGAACATAGGTTTGACTATATTACTCTTTGGATAAAGTGGTTGTACAAGTTATAATTTCAATTTTGAAAACTTTCTATAAAGAAAGATTAGAATACAGGTTGAGAGGGGGGCTGTTATGTAACAAATACAACATGAAGGCTTCTATACAGAAACTTCAGGAAGTTAAAGAAAAAAAAAAAGGAAGAGAATACATATACAACCAGTTTGCTTAAGCCAAAATAAATTTGAGAGGATGTTAAGACAGATTTAATAGTAAATGAAAAAAGAAATGTTTACACATCTACCATCTACTCTGTGGATTATTTTAGAATACACTTTAATTGGATTCAGCTTCCAAAGCCTTCCTGGTTGTATTGCCCACTATCTGTGAGTTAGCACTTGTAGAAGATTCTTAGATCATTTTGAAGATGAAACAAGGGGCATTAAAAGCATTTTGAAAATGCAAAAAAGTCTCATTCAAATGTGAGCAACTATTATTTTGTAAAAATAAAACAGATTGGGAAGAAAAAGGAAATGTTGAAAAAAATACTATTCTGGTCTAAAATCCAAAGTCAATTATTTTAACATCTTCTATACAACTGCTTCACTCTAATAATGTGGCTGCTTAAATTTAACTACATACTAGTGAACAAATAATATTTTTCTATATTATTTATCTGAAGCAGATAAGTCTGATGAATCATGACAGGTCAGTCAACTGATTAATCAATCAAAAATTTAGTTATGTTTTAATGGCCTGTTACTCCATAAATCTATGGTATTTGACTTTCTAGTTTAGCGACTACCCCCCAAATTGGAGAAATAATATTGAATAGTTCCTTCTTTTGGGGACTTCTTATTGCTATAAACTATTTTATTATATTCAGTTTTCACAAAAGCCAGTTACTAAGTACCAAGATTCTCACCACACAGGCCCAAGGATTATACTGGATGTAAAACCTTATAACTGATAATAAATTAGTTCTTTAATTTGTATCTGTAATAATAGGAAAAACAAATAGGGTTTTTATTAGAGTTAAAAAATATTTTGGAAATAACTTAAAAAATGAGTAGGAATGACCACTGTCCTATTTTCACATTTAATTACTTGTTTTGTGTCTGTCTCTGCTAGATCACAAATTCTGTAAATGCATAGACAATTATTTTTTACTGTTATATAATCTGTACCTAATAACATGCCTTGTACATACAGAAACATAATGACAGAATGAATAATAACTTGCACTTACATGATGCAGCTACAACATACTTCTACACTTTGTCTCACTTGATCTTTCTAACAGTAATTAGTCTATCAATTTGACAGGTTAAAAAATAAAGGCTTAGAAAAAGTTTTATTAAATAATATTAAAAGTAAGAGCTAGTGGCACATGCCTGTAAATCCACGGGCTGTGGAAGCAGAGACAAGAGGATCAAAAGTTTGAGGCCAGCCTCAGAAATTTAGTGACATCTGCCTCAAAATGAGAAATAAAATGGGCTGGGAATGTAGCTCAGTGGTAAAGTATCCCTGGGTTAAATTTCCAGTACAAAAAAAAAAAAAAAAAGAAATTTACTAGAATTCAAGTCCATAATAAAACATACAAGGTAGAGATGAATATAGTTAAAATTTTATGGGGGTGGGGGGTGGGGAAGAGAGCACATCACAGAATTACAACTTTTTCAGTAATTAAACAAAACAGGCATTGTAGAGCATCTTCCAACTGCTTTTCTTTCCTATTTCAAGTAATAAATATAGAAATTTTATATTGTTTAGGTACTAGGAATAAAAGACTTGATTCTATTCCCTGTAAGTCACTGAATTAATAAACAAAACCTTTTCCACACCATTAACTATTGAGTGAAAAATCCTCGTGTATTAAATTATGCTTTTATTAATTTTGGGGGCTTCTACCTCACAATTATTTTGCAATATTTAAGTTTTTAAAAAAATCCCAAACGAAAAAATTAAATTTGCTCAAAGAAAAATTACTAAAGAGCTACTATTAATAAAGAGAAGAGGGGCTGGGGTTGTAGCTCAGTGGTAGAGTGCTCCCCTAGCATGTGTGAGGCCCTGGGTTCAATCCTCAGTACCACATAAAAATAAATAAATAAAATAAAGACATTGTGTCCAACTACACCTAAAAAATAAATATTAAAATAAATAAATAAAAATAAAGAGAAGAGTCTGCCTTTCTGTTTACAAGGACACATGTTAAAATTGTATACTGAAAACTAACCTCCATAATTAATATAATTGAAAGACAAAGTTAAACACAGGTTAAAACCATTTCAAATAAAAGATAAAAGTAACAGAACAGGTATTATTTTAAAATACAATTACTGATAACTAACAGTATTCAATTCTTGGTCTAGACTACCATAAATGTCTATAAATAGCATTTGATTAAAGTGCTCTTTTAGAGATTTTAGAAAGCTAAAATATGATTCAATGAATGAGGAAATGATCTTCATAATAATTTTCTTTAAAATCAAATATGTACTTGGTAAAAATATGAACAATCACAACTTAACACCTGTTAATCTTTTTATTGTATAAATAACCATGGGTCATTACCTAGTATACTGATCAGCTAAACTTGTATGCCACATAAAGGATTATTAAGGAAGTAGAATTGATGAATGATTTCCATAGAGTTTAATTATTTCTTTGACACTAAATTTTCTACATAATTCATTCTGTCCTTCAGTTAATGGGTTGGTTGTTAGCAGACTAAAAGAAATTCTTGTTCCCTGAAACCATTATAAGTGGATTAACACTTCATGCTCTGCAAATAAACTCTGGTCAAAAGAGTTTTAAAAACTTTTAATTTTATTTGAAAACATAACTATAAAACAACAAAAAGTAAAAATAATATATTGACTTGAAACAATAATAGAAAGTTATAACTGAAGTGCCTTTCTTCCCATCATCCATGGTTCTCAATCTCCTCCATCATCATTACTTACATCATGGTACACATCACTGTTAAAAACTTACCTGAATTTACAGAGTTATTTCCTAAACCATTTCTACACCTATATATTTATCTATGTAAACCACTTCATTAATTAAAAAAGGATTGTGCTATACCTTTTAATATGCAACTGACTTTGAGTAATTTGAAGAGAAATTCAAGTAACACAAAAGTAACCATTTTAAAGTGGCATTTAGTACGTTTACAATGTTGTACAACCATCACCCTCAATTATAAAATGTTTCCATCACTCTAAAGTAAAAGCCTTTACACATTAAGCAGTTTTTCCCAATTCTCTTCCACTCACCTTGCCAATATGCATTCTCTCTAGATAGATTTATCTATTCTGGGTATTCCAGAATAGGAATGAGTGCATATAATGTGCAATGTTTTGTTCTGGCTTCATTAAGCAAAATGTTTCAAGGTTCTTTCATACACTTCATTCCTTTTATGGCTGAATACTATTCCATTGTATGTATGCATATACCACAGTTTAATTCATTTATCCCTGAAGGCTGTTTCTAGCAAGATTCCTTTTGCCCATAAATATATATAATGGATATTTCTCCAGGTTAATACATATAGCTGAACTTCATTTTTCAATCTTTTTTTTTTTTGAGAAAAATTTTAAAGTAAATCCCTGATAACACATCATTTTACCTCTTCATATTTTGGAATACATTTCAAAAAACATAGTGCTAACATCATTTAATTTTTAATGATTAAAAAGATTATTTTACTTTTCTATTTGTAGTTTGAGATATTAACTGAAATCATTTTCAATTTAGAGCTTAATTTAGTAATTTCCTGAATCTGACATCCGTGTAAAAGTCAGATGCTTTGAAAATGGTGTGAATTAACTTCTACTAAAATGATAAATTTTGCCTTTGTTTCTCCAAGTGAGAAATTTCTACCCAAATTAGGAAATATAAAAAGTCACCTTTTGTTACAATAAACATTTTTATCATATGGCAGAAAAAACAAGATAAATGAAAAAAAGATTATATGTACTGTGAATACTGAATCTGAAATAATTAAGTGTTGCTATTAGTAAGTGGTGACCAGTGCTGTTGCATAATTAGGGAAAGCAATATTTCATTCAAAGCTATTAATACTTCTATAACTTGGGTCAAAGCAGAAAACTGGTCCTATATAAAGTCTTTGTAAATGATACCATACATTTATATACCCACTTAATAGTTTTCAAACACTTTTAATTTTTAAAACCAGACATAACAGACCAAATTACAAAGGAAAATACTGATAAGTTATCACTTTTTTTTAAATGGAAAACACTTGCATTCATTTCAATTTGATTTATGTAATGACAGAGAAACAGGACAAGTACTATTATTTCTATTCTACAGGTCAGACAACTAAGGCTGGAATCGATGGGTTTTATGTTATCCAACTATAAAACAGCCAAGTCATTCAGAAGGTTTTGTTATGATCAAAATCAAAAGATATATTTAAAGTCACTTTATTAATGTAATAAAAGTATTTGAAATTTTAAAACACAGTAGTTATTATTCTAACAGGTTTGGTAAAGTATATAGCTATTTTGTAGTATATACATAAATTAATATTTATAATCTGTTTAATTTTATTTAAAAGGTAAAAAAAAATTCAGAATTTTTTTCCTGAAAAATTGTGTATGGCTACAGATATAGATCAATGGCATTGTGCTTGTCTAGCATGCATGACACGCTGAGTTTGATCCTCAGCATTGCTATAAAATAAATAAATATGTAAACAAATAGTGAAACTAGTTCTTAAATAAAAATTCATTTATCATATGGTAATGATAATATTTCTTAATAAACTCTAGTTTTATACTTGTTATACTTCCACATGTTGGAAGTCTATGTGGTATAGTAAGTTATTAAAATTAAATGGTTAAATATAGGTTTGTAAGACAATTGATTTGTTCTAAAGTTACCATGTTCTTACTCAGAGCACAACATGGATTTATAAAAGATGTCTACCTCACATATTACAATTTTTGAATTAAAATATTTAATTTGGTTAAATACTATGTTTGCTGTTCGAATTTTTTTCCTAAGCATTTAAAGAGACAATTATATGTGTAATATCTTTACAGATAGATTTGAAAAAGGAGTAGGGGGTCTCTCTAATCATTAATTATGATTATATAGAAAGATTCACTTTATATTGGCCTATATTAATAATAAGTATAACTCATTAATATCAACTTCTAGTTGATGTTCATTAATTGGTGGCTAAAAAAACTTTATTAGAAAATACTCACAATGTTAAGAATGACTAAGTAAGGAGTCTTAAAATCTTTATGACCTCACGAGGTCCTAAAGAAACTATTTAAGGTCAATCTGGAACCTTTCATGAGTGTTAAAACAAAACAAAATAAAACTTGTAATTCAAAGAATTAAAAAATTTAAAAGTGCAAACTGCTGAAGCAACTTAGTTATGATATAATCAAAAGATAAAGAAAGTGAATTTAAGTAATATTTCTAAATTTTGGAATTCTTTGATCTTTCTATTACAACTTCATAAAATTTAAGCTAGATAGTAAAGATAGTGTATTTTTTTTAAAGACAGAGAGAGAAAGAATTTTTAATATTTATTTTTCAGTTTTTGGTGGACACAACATCTTTATTTATTTATTTATTTATTTTTTAAATGTGGTGCTGAGGATTGAATCCAGCGCCCCGCGCATGCCAGGCGAGTGCGTTACCACTTGAGCCACATCCCCAGCCCAAAGATAATGTGTCAGTGCTGAAAATTTTATATCACTTCATCTCAGCATTCAAACACGTTTATAAAACTATGATTATATTACTATATAGTTTACCTACACCCAATATTATGCCCTAAAATATCCTGATGGCCAACTAGAAAGAAACAAGGAAAAGCTATGTTCACAACTATTAAAGATAAATGGCAAAACAAAACACATATTTATGCACCATACCTGCAGTTGACCATTTAATGAACTCAAGTCTTCTGCTTTTTTTTCTAAGGATTGAACCCAGACTTTCCTTTTTTGTCGGCATCTTGAAGCTGCTGCTCTGTTTCGCTCTAAAAATTTCCTCCTTTTTTCATCAGGATCTTCATTAGCAGCTCTTCTTCGACGACCACTTGTATTTTGAGTCTGTGGAGTTGTGTGAGCTGGAGAAGCCTACAGTGCACAGAGATGGAAGTTTGTTATATTTATGTTTAGTGAGTGAACGGATATAGGCAGTAAAGGGTGTCAAAGGGGGAGAGCCACTAACTTTATTTTCTAAGTCTTGAGGAATACATTAGTATTTTGGAGCAACATAAAAATCACCCTGTGCTTTAATTGCCCCCTTGAAATAAATGAATCATACTATAATGAAATTCTTACTAAAGCAATGTCATAGTGAATATCTTCTTTAAAGTATATATAATATTTTCATTTGCTTAGAAATAAAAATCGAAAATATAATACTAATGATCATATGTACATCTTGAATTTTCTACATGTACATTAAATTGACTTTCTTGTAATATTTAATCCTTTGAAAATTACTGATTATTTAATAAGTTCAAAAACTTAACTTTCTAATTAAATTCAAGTCAGAAAACCACTTTTTTGTCTATTTTTTAGATAAAATATATATTAAATCTGTCAATTTTCTTTATTGGTTTTTCTAAAATTAAGGAATTAAGATATGTATATGCTTTGGGGTAGTTCGCTTTGAAATTCAGGGTCAGTCTTTTTCTAAGGGTCAGGTTCTTATAATTATTAGTGCTCATTTTCCTAGCAGGCAGAATCCCACAAGAACCCTAATTTTCATTTTTTAATTGATCCCATTTCCTCCTAATGGATCAGCTTGATTTCTGATCAGCCAAGGATATAAATCTTCAATCACTAGTCAGACTGTCTAGTATATAGGACTAGAGAACAACAGAAACCTCCAGTCCTCTTATGAGCCCCCAAATCCATGCCACAAAACAGGTGAATATGGGAGATTGGAAATGAACCACTAGAAATTTGTGTAGAAGAAAGAGCACTTAATTGTTATAGGTACATAATTCAAAAGACAAGACTAAAAACAATCTTTTACCTATAATTAATTATATTTTAAGGGTGTGAACAAATCAAATCAAATCAAGTCTATGTAATAAGCAAAAATCTTACGTATGTACGTGTTCAAGATAAGTTCTGCAGGTAAATTGCCAAGCTATTCCTCATTCTACAAACTCCCCCAAATAGTAAGTTATCACTTGATTCCTTTGTTCAAATAACTAGCAGTAAAAAATTAAGAGGGTTAGGACTGGGGATATAGTTCAGTACCACAAAATAAATAAATAAGAGGGTTATTTCACTTCTGAAGTATTTTTATTATAATAAAGATCAAGCACTAAATTAAATTGCTTTTTTTTTTAACCTACATATTGCAACTTAATCTTTTAAAAAATATTTGTATGGCTGGCTTCAAGAACTGCAGCCTTGAAATATTTTTCTTCATCCTCTATCATTTTTTTTATTGAGAACAATTTTTTTTATTCAATTGTCTGAATAGAAAGAACTTCTTTGATTTGTTTTTAATTGATTTAATTCATCACAGCAAAGATTAATCAAAGTAATAGAATAGCAGAAATTATTACAATTAGAATCATGAAAATATTTATAGAAACTATTCTAGAGTCTAGTGATATATCAGTGAACAAATAGATAAAGTCCTGTACTCACTGGGCTTCTATTTGATATAATAAAACATAAAGTTATAAATCTAGGGAAAGACTAATAGTATATGAAAATAAAGATAAAATAGCTAAGTAAATATCTATGTTTAGTTGACAATCTAAAACTTGGTATTTACCCATTTCTTTGATTGGAAATTAAATATCTATGTTTAGTTGACAATCTAAAACTTGGTATTTACCCATTTCTTTGATTGGAAATTTTTAAGGTCAATACTAATATTCTTCAAGTAGAGAATATAAAATTTATTGTAAAGGCTGGGGATGTAGCTCAGTGTTAAAGTGCTTGCCTAGCATGTGTGAGACCCTGGGTTGGAGCCCTCATACTGCCAAAAGGCAGGGGGTTAGAAATTTATTGTAGACATATAGAAATATCAATCATGATAGATAGTTAGAAACTAGAGATAAGTGAAAAGGGGTTCTTAGTATAAACTGCTGCCATATTTATTCTTTTGGTGATGTTTTACAAATTTTAATTCAAGAATCATTTGATTTGTGTCATATGACTTACACATATATGGGTATGAATATTTATATATTTAAAAGACCTCCCATCACCTAGAAGTGTAGTAAGAATACTTACATGAATAAATAAAAAGAACTAGTGCTTTATAATGAGTGAGCAAATACAACATGTGAAAACAAGAATTGCTAAAGAAAAAAAAATGCCTGCTTCTTTGGACATGTGGAACATCAGTTAACAGCCCTATTCACTTCAGTGGCTAGAGACCACTGCAACACTATAATACGCTAGGCAGTGTAATTAGGGACAATGATATTCTAGGGAAAAGGAAAATCAATGACAATTTTGAAAAGAGATTCAGAAAGATTCTTATGTAGTTTTTGTTGTACTGGGGATTGAGTGCAGGGGTGCATTATCAGTGGGTTACAGACACAGTCCTTGTTATTTTTTATTTTGAGATAGGGTCTCACTAAATTGCTGGGCTTGAACTTGCAATTCTCCTGACTTAGCCTCCCAAGTAGCTGGGACTACAGGTATATACCACTGTGCCCAGTAGAAATATTCTTTAGAGATCTTAGTTTTGCTATCTGAAACGTTTCTAAAGAATAAGGCATTCTTCAACAATATCAAATAAATTGTTAATGTCTATAATGTTTACAGAACATAGACTATGTAATAATATTCAAGAGTACAGTTTAATATCAAACCTATTTATATCACAGAAAGGAAAATATATTGATAATTATTGTTTGTTTTTAAGACAAGTCTGTCTATAGTTTTGTGACAATAATTAAAAGAAACTCTTCATTCCCCTCAACATAAGGTTCTAAGGTTTTTCTAGTTATAGGACAAATTTTCCAAAGAGGAAATCACAACCCTAAAATTCCTCAATCAAGAAAGAAGGAATGAAATAAGTTTCCCAAAGTTGTATTAGGTTTCACTGTTAAAAACTATTTATTTAAAAACTGGCACAGTGGTTCACACCTAAAATCTCAGCTATATGGAAGGACTGTGTGTTCAAGGCCAACCTGGTCAACTTAAAATAAAAAATGAAAGGGTTAGGGATGTGTCTCAGAAGTAGAATGCCTCTGATTCAGTCCCTAGTTCCAAAAAACAAAACAAAAGTCTTCTGTGTTGTGTCAGGTCAATACACATAAATGCCTACAGAGTTTATTATAAAATGTCTTGAACAGTAACAATGTATCTATTATTTTTATCTATTTAATTTTGTATTAACACATACATATGACCTACATTTTTTTTAAAGATTTTTGATATAGTTCTGGAATGACAACATGACAAAAAAATATTTATTTTTTTCAAAATCTATAAAAGAGTCAATGTAAGTCACACTACATTTGTTTTTTTTATTGATAACAAGAGTAATGAATGATTAAAAAAACACACATACCGGAGTTTCTGTTGTGGATGTAGCTGGTTGTTGTAATGATTGTGGGCGAGATTCTTCTGACTGAGTCCTAACCAATCCACTACCATGACCTTTGACAGTATCACCATTGGTAACTGGAGGATGTTGTTGGGTCAAAGCAGCTTTTAATCTCTGAAATGTAAACATCATTTAAAAAAGAAGTTTCCTGCTTTATCCCCAAATGTAGTTTACAACATACCCATTAGCTAATTGAAAATATTTGTTAAGGAACATACTTGGCTTTGAAATTAGTTTCAATTATCATATTTCATTGAGTATTATAAATATCAATATGACAAACAATTGTACATTTGGAAAGCTTCTCTTTTTGTCTAATTCTGAAAAGTTAAAAAAATAAAAGTTAGCTGAAAATAACTAGCTTCGATCAATTAAAAAACACATTACAAGTTAATTGTAATATACACTTTTATTCATTCTTTTCTCCCTCATTCTTATACCTCCTCCCCACCCCCAGGTTCTGCTTAAGATACTAAAACCTAAATCTATTCTTACCCAGATTTGGTCCCCTTTAATAATCTCTGTTTATAAGTTTGGTATTTGGACAATGAAGAGATGCTGCATTTTTTTTAGGCCACTATGCTGCCTGCCAGACTGAACTTCCTTCTAGAACTTACAGTTAGCTTTACTTCCTGTAGATCCTTTTCTTCCACTATATTTTATTTTTTGCCAGTAAAATGAACCGGACCTAACTGACTTATAGAATGTAATAAGTCTGGTATTAGATTACAGCCCTACATTTTATGGCTACACTTCCTCCTAAAGATACAATTTGAATGAAATTTATCTATCATCAGAAATATGTCATGTCATATGCCAATTAGATAGTAAGAGTAGAGATTATCTTGATTTCTTCTGTGAAACTGGGCAGATGTGTTTTTAAGTTAGTTTTATGATTTGTAAGTATGTAACAATTAGTATAAGATAATCATAGTATCTCAGCAATGAAAGGAACATCAAGAATCTGGAAAAACCTGGGACTACTATTGCTAACACTGCTCTTAACTGAGATGTAGTTCTTGAGCCCCAAATAAATTTCACTGAGTTGCTTAGTGCCTCGACATTGCCGGGCTGGCTTTGAAATTTCGATCCTCCTGTCTCAGCCTCCTGAGCCGCTGGGATTACAGCTGTGTGCCACTGAGCCCGGCTTGGATGTTAACTATTAAAAAAAAAAAGAGATTCTTAACAAATTTTCCTTTCTTCCTTTCCACAGCACATAGTAAAGAATGCATGTGAAGAAAAGACCTTTTGGGGCTGGGGATGTGGCTCAAGCGGTAGCGCCCTCGCCTGGCATGCATGCGGCCCGGGTTCGATCCTCAGCACCACATACAAACAAAGATGTTGTGTCCGCCGAGAACTAAAAAAATAAATAGTAAAAAATTCTCTCTCTCTCTCTAAAAAAAAAAAAAAAAAAGACCTTTTGAGGGCTGGGGATGTGGTTCAAGCGGTAGTGTGCTCGCCTGGCATGCGTGCGGCCCAGGTTCGATCCTCAGCACCACATACAAAGATGCTGTGTCTGCGGAAAACTAAAATATAAATATTAAAAAATTCATTCTCACTTTCTCTCTCTCTCTCTTTAAAAAAAAAAAAAGACCTTTTGAAAAGGCCCTCAAATGTTTCTACAACTGTTTTCACTTATTCCAAGAAAAATTTTAGAAAATTTTATCAACTACAAAATTTTTTATCTATGCATATCTTTTTATTGTTTATTATATGTGATCCAAATCCCTCAACAACTGAAGCATATATGAAAAGATCAGTAGAATTTCACCACAGGCAATAATTTATGCCTAGATAAGCATTAGTGGACATTTTCTCTCTATTGAATGCTTATAGATACTGGATTTGATTTTTTAAAAAAGTCAGTAGTTTACAGAAAAGTCTTATTGAGGTATAAGTTTTACAGACAGTAAATTTACTCATTTTAGTATATACAGTTCTTTGAGTGTTAACAAGCACATACACTTGGTGTTACTTTCTCCACAACTAGGATACTGAATAATTCTACCCACAAAATGCCCTGATGCCCTATCCTGTCATGTTTTCCTTGCATCTCTGGCCCCTGGAAACCACTAATCTGTTTTTTGACCCCCAAAATTTTATCTTATCCAGAATATCATTTAAACGGAAACACACAGTGTCTAGTCTTTTGAATCTGACTTTTTTCCTTTGGCATAATGCACTTGAGATTCATCTGAGTTATCAATAGTTTTTAAATACGTTTTTAAATGAATAGTATCCCTGTTTTATAGATTAGGAATCCGGTGATCATTCTCTCAAGCTATTAAACTAGTTCAAATCCTGGTTTCGAATACAAAATCTCTTCAGCTTCAAAGTGTGCAATTTTTCTATGGCACTATGTTACATATATTATACTTGGTACTGTCAGAAAACACAGGGAAAGAACAAGAAAGATAATCTGAGACTGCATGGCTTTCAAAAGACAACCATAAAGGATTGAGAAAGACAAGCCTTATACAACTGCTAAGCCATGTCACCCAGGATCAGGCATGTTTTCTCCTTTTCTGACAGACTTTCTCTACGAACTATAAAAATCACAATATCTGTAAAGTCCTACTATCTTCACTGATTGTACACACAATGTATTATAATATTTTTTCAGATGAGAAGATCATGTACATATAGAACTTTAATTCAAACTATCCGTAATTTTGAATAAATAAATCTTTTGAGTCTCAATTTTCTTATCTGTGAAACTGGGAATAACTCCCTTGGAGGAGTTAAACAAAAATTAAATATAATACCCACAATTAACTGATTCATAAAAGGATTTCTAAAATGTTAGCTTCTTTATTTCTTCAAGAATAGTTATTGAGCCAGGTGTGGTGGCTGTAATCCCAGTGATGCAGAGGGTTAAGGTAGAAGGATTCTAGGTTCGAGGCCATTCTGGGCAATTCAGCAAGATCTTGTCTCAAAATTTTTTAAAAGGCTGGAAATGTAGCTCTGTGACAGATCATTTGCCTAGCATGCATGAGACCCTGGGTTCAATCTCTAGTACCAAAACAAACAAACCAATACCATATACTGCAATATATTATATTTAAGAATACAGACAAAATTCCTAATTCCTTCTTTCCTCTATATCCTAACATTTTTTTTAGAGAGAGAGAGAGAGAGAGAGAGAGAGAATGAGAATGAATGAGAATATGAATATATTTTTGTAGATGAACACAACACAATGCCTTTATTTTTATGTGGTGCTGAGAATCAAACCCGGGTCATGCCTGTGCTAGGTGAGCGTTCTACCGCTGAGTCACAATCCCAGCCCAAATGCCTTCTTCTTCTTTTTTTTTTTTTTTTTAAGAAATCAGAAACAATTTGTCGTTAGGACAAAGGAAATAAGGACACTAATGACTGAGAATAATGTTGAAGTAGACACATAAAAAATGGAAACAGATGAGTGACCCAACTGGTAGCTGGCTGGAAAAAGACAGGAATATTCAGGAAACTGATTGAAAAGAAGTGAAAGAAAGATAAAAGTTAGAAAAGAGTATAAATCACATAAACAGAACAAAAAAGGAGAGTCTGAGGAGATGGTTGGTCTGCATATTTATACCTTCAATAAACAGAATGTTAGAGATCAAAATATAACAAATAGTACCCAATTTATAGTGCTAAATTGGAGCTTTTGTTTCTGGATATAATATGTGCAAAAATACACTACAAAATAGAGCTGTGAGGCTTGATAAATTATGTGTTGGTAAAACATTTTTAAGTCCTTAGGTAGAAAACATTATAGAATTGAAGAGCATTTAAAGTTTTATAGTGAAGAGCTTAACTCTTAGAATTAATGAAATACAGTAACTACACATAGGGGAGTCTGAAGTACATAAACATCACTCTCTTGAATAATCTTTAGTAGGGCAAGTTACAACCTTACAGAGCACTTAAAAGCAGCATCAGTATTCATTCATTATCCTCCCTTGACTGCCCTAGGGTATACAGCACTCATCCAGTGAGGAAGCACTAATGTTTGCTCCATGCTGTTACATTGATTACAATGGGTCTGACTTGGAAAGTGTGCCAGTGGGTATAAAATATAAGAAAGAGACTTTAAGGGTTAATTAACACTGCTCAACTGCTGATTAATTTTTTAAAAACTATATATATGTGTGCTAAAAACTTAGAATGTTAGGTGAAGAAAGCAGGCACTAAATATTCATATAAATTTTTATAATTCATATAAGGATACCTATAATTTACCTTTATATATGTTAGGAGTATTTTATTTGTTTGTTTGTTTGTTTTTAAAGAGAGAGTGAGAGAGGAGAGAGAGAGAGAATTTTTTTTTTTTTAATATTTATTTTTTAGTTTTTGGCGGACACAACATCGTTGTTTGTATGTGGTGCTGAGGATCGAACCCGGGCCGCATGCATGCCAGGCGAGCGCGCTACCGCTTGAGCCACATCCCCAGCCCTGTTAGGAGTATTTTAAAGAAGGTCAAATATCTTGGTTTTAAAAGAATTAATGAAAGCAAATACAAATACAGTGGACATTTATTTTACAATAGAATTTTGGAGCTAGCTGAGATAATGGAATTCAGAATATAATCATCATCTTCCATATAAGAAACTTCTCAAAAATTGAAGTTAACTGCTCAAAATCATAAAGTTAGTAGCAGAGGTAAAACCTGAAATTCTATCTGTTGACCACCCCCACCCCCAGTTCACTTAACACATTATTAACAAACACTCTGCCAAAATAGAGCTTTGCCCTAATATTAAGTATTCTAGCACCTACCTGCCAAGGGTATTTAGACCAATGTCTACATCAAGCACCCTATGTCCCTTGAGCTGTATCTGATAGAGGGCAGCTATAACAAGATATTCCTGGTCAAAGGCAACATCCCTGCTGAAAGCTACACTTTTTCAACAACATTCTGCTGGACACTATCAGTGACAAGATGGCAGGACGTATTGAGAAGGCTGAGAAAATCCTTATCACTGAGGCCACCCAGAACCTCTTTTTCAAGACACCCAAGAAGATGACAGACTAAGCTAAAAGTGAGGGTTGGTACTGGGCCCCAACAACTACTACAGTTTTGCCAGCCAGCAGAAGCCAGAAGACACCATCATCCCCTCCCCAGAACTGGC